TTTTTTTTTTTTTTTTTTTTTTTTTTTTGTTTTTTTGTTTGTTTGTTTGTTTTTTTGTTTGTTTGTGCTGGGACTTCATTGGCCCTTCCTTGCACGGCCAGGCCACCCAGGCAAACAAGGTGACCCGGGCGGTCCGGCTGGTATGGCCTGGATTCAGGTTATTTCTTGTGGCGAAGAGCTCAGCGGCCACTTCAGCCTCTGTGAGTTCTCAACGAAGATTGGAGACTTCACAATCGCTGAAACGGTCACAGCGTTTCTCACTTCGCAATGTGTGTGCACTTGCGGGCCAAACTTGCTTGTGGGAAAAGACAGCTAGAAGGCGTTGACAATGGTGGGTGGAGGAAAGTGCAACACTGTTTGCTGCATGGAGGCCAACATACTAAATCACTTTGAAGTTTCAAAACTCCCTCTCCCCATTTTTGCACATTTTGCGATGGAATCGACCAAATGCCGCCCAACCATAATCACTCAGAATCTCAAATAGCAATTACAACTTAGCCGCGCCGAACAGTACCCACCCAGAAAAACAGCCGCCGCAAACAGTAGCCCCCCAGAAAAGCAGCCGTGACGAGCAGTAGCCACCCGGAAACGTGGCCTCCGAAGCAGCGAAGAAGCTACAGCGACTACGGAGAAACGCGGTCTCTGAGGCGGCGAAGAGGCTGCAGCTCTGGAACTAGAGGAAACCACCGTGTCCGTGAGTGCAATAGTTTTCCCGCCAGCACGTTTGGCCCCCAGCAAATAGGTTGCATGTCGCAACTTTGCCAGTAGTCATTCAGTGAAGGAAGGGACTACCACTTGCCAGAAACTCCAAGAGTAATCCTCATTCTCTCTGAACATCAGTCCACACTTCTCCCCTCCAAAGCACCAAAAAAGAAATAGACAGATAAAAATGTAGGGGGTACAAACTGCTGTGCCTTCCGGCCAAGAACCAGGGTTAAACATTACTCCTCGGTTATCCCCACAGACAACCGGCCTGAAGACGTGCGCTCTTGCCAACCGGAATAAATCCAGCGAGCAACAAAAACTTGCAGCCTGCACACACACACACACACACACACACACACACACACACACACACACATCCGGACACTGGAATCAGTTTTGGTCCCATTGTTTTGCACAATGACTTGGAGACCGCACGGAGAAGTTCTGCGTCTCATATGGATGCAAGAAAAAAATGAGCGGTGCTACTTTGATACAGCCGTTCAAAATCAAAACTCAAAGAAGGCCACATTCAGAAAGAGAAATGAAACTTGATTTATTACCATCATTTCTTCCCAAACCTCTTGTGCACACGATGGCAGCACATGCGCAAAGACTTTAGCTGCCTGAACTGAACCACCGCTCTCCCCAAACCTCTTGTGCGCCCGGCCTCCATAACTGCTCGAACGGACATGGAGTCGAGCCTGGCAGAGTTTGAACCGATCCACAGTGAATCCGCCTTCCAACCTTTCCTTTCCCATGCCCTCCACCACCCTCCCCGGGTGGCGAGTCCCCACGAAAGAAGAAAAAATCTAAGTACATACTGCAAAATACACGCATGCAATTCGACGCATGCCATAAACAGCTTCCATCATTCCATTTATTTTCTGCTGGCCTTATATAAGTGACAAGCATTACACTCAGAATCGCACCTTGCGAAAACAATAACTCTCTCCAACTAGCAAAACCACGTACGCGTCTTCAATCTTCCTTCTTCTCATCAGCTACTTTGGTCGATTCCTCAGATGCTGTTCCGTCTGCCTTTTTTGGCGATCCCTCTTCTGCTTCAGCTGTCTCATCAAACTCCAGAACCTGCAGAGAACAGAAAACATTGTGTCAGTCCAACAAGCTCGTTAACTAGTTGTGAAGACCAATTAAAAGCCCCTTATGTTGTCAAGCTTCACATGCCACGGGTTCAACCGCAGGTATATCATTAGCAATTCAGCATACAAAAGAAACACACACACAATACATTCATTACACTGCCATGCTGTGTGCCTCGAGTGCCAGCGGTGTGTCTGGACTCTGGAGTGTATTTTCTTGCTTTCACAAGACACCGGGCCAACCGCAGGCATATCATCAGCAATTCAGCATACAAAAGACACACACACACAATACATTCATTACACTGCCATGCTGTGCCTCGAGTGCCAGCGGTGTGTCTGGACTCTGGACTGTATTTTCTTGCTTTCACAGCGCACGGAAAAGTACACCGAAGACAGAGACACTCGAGACTCATTCTCCGCGGTGTGTCTGGACTCTGGAGTGTATTTTCTTGCTTGCACAGTGCATGGAAAAGTATACCGAAGACGGATACACTCGAGACCCAATCTCCGCCGAGGCCCTATGATGTTCGCCAGCTTATGACGGGGTGTGCACCGGCGGTCTGTAGAGTCTTCCCTTTGGTGTAGGGGAGTGATAGTCTACTTTGGTTTCCGTCAGAGGTACAGGGCAGTGGTTGGTGAACTTGGTGCCCACCTCAGTCTCTCAGTTCTTGGGCAGTTGTTGATGCTTAACTGCAAGTGGGGTTAAGGTGGATTGTCATTCACAGTATCATCGGTTAGAAGAGTCTGCAGACTGTAGAGCGTTCACCCTCCCGGGGAGACGGTGAAACTCCACTGAAACAGTCAGTTGAATCTCCTTTATTGTCCTCTTCTCCCTCTGCCTACAGGTCGCTGTGCCGATCTCTATATCGTCAAATAGAGTCCGCACAACCAATGAAACAGAAACAAATACATACTCAAGCGAAACAGAAACTAATGCCTCGCCTCCATCCTTCTTCTCATCTACTCTCATCTAATCTCATCTACTCTCATCTACTCTCATCAACTCTCACGCAAAACAAGATGAATATAAGGTCACTATCAGAGATGTTCACAATACCCCACAGTTTCAGGAAGGCTTCTGCCCTCCAGTGCCGCGCGCTTCCTTGGTAGATGTGCAAGAAAACTTCTTTAGAAAAGATGCAACAAACAGCAACGGGAACAAAGAAAAACACCCAGCTTCAAGGAACACGCAAGAGAGTTGGGTAACCACCCTCCCACCTGCATACCACATTTTCAGGATCGAAAGGGCGTGCAGTGACATCATGAATCTGAGAGAGACTTTGTGATGCGATCCACAAAAATTGGAGCAGTCCGAAGAATTGAATCGATCAAGAAAAGAGGGTGTGCTGGGTTCACGTTGTTGTCAGCCTGCCTCGTCAACACCCACCTGTTTGAGCTCGCCTCGAATTACAGCATGCGCACCCATGAAGCCAATTACGCCTGGTACAATGTAAAGCAGTGCAGGCTGTGGCCACATGAGACCGTCCAACCAGCACACAACCCAAATGACACAGTCGAGACCAAGAAAAACAGCAGAGTGAGAAACAGAAAAAGACCTCAACCCAGCCCATGTGGCTGAATGGTACACAGATGCAGCTGTTGATAAACAGATCATGAGTGATAAACAGATCATGAGTTCGAATCCTGATGGAGTCGGATCGAGACAATACGGTTAGGGGCTTTGACCTTCAACAACGAGGGGGAGGTGGGGTTGCGGAACACAAAAAAAAGACCTCAAGAAGAGAAAGAAGCAGCACAAGTCATAACCGAAAGCAAAAGATCTCCCAGGTCCAATCAAATACCTGTCTGAGGCATTGCACCATCATTCTTTTCTTCCCAGAGAAGACCATCATTGCAGCAGCGATTCTGCTTTTTTTTCCCTTTTCTCTCTGCTACTTTTGTTCATACCCTCAGAATGCCCTTTTCCTAATTTACAGACCTCTCTTTCCGGTTCACAAAACAAAAGACTCGTCAACAGCTAATAGATCGGTGCTGGCATCCATATAATTGCCGCATCATTGCAGCAGTCACTGCCACCGAGGTTGTTCCCCATGCATCCCCAGGGTCCAAGCC